GCACTGATGAAAAGACCCCTGAGACAAGGAGACCCAAATTAGATTTCAATAAGGATGTTGAATATTCATATCAGGGAAACATCTAAAGGTAAATGCTTTTTGATCTCCGCGCACAAATATCACTTGTGTGCATTCCCAGGTCCTGGCGCTCTGGTTCTACAGTGTTTTCTCCCCCAGCCTGGTCCGGCCCCGGCCTCGGCTCTGTCTCACTCCTCGGGGGCTGCGATGGAATAATGATGATGGGGCTACAAAGGAGAAAAAGAGCCATAATGAATGTTTATACTAAAGGGACCCAATAGAAAGGGCATCCGTACTAAGTATTCAGTAATTAGTATTTAGCAGAAGTTGATCGCTGAGTGCACACATTCAAACACGGAGCACACACACACACACACACACACACACACACACACACAGACACACACAGATATCCAGGGCAGAATCACTGAGGCATAATCATTTGCTGTGTAAACTTTAGACAGGGGAACCTCCCTTGACAGCAGCAGTCAAAACACAGTTTCATTCGTCCTGTCAACATGTTTCCTTTATTTTTATAATTGACTCCACTTAGGGTCTTTCCCCCCAAAATGTCAACAGAATTCACAATGTGGCTGTTTATTTGTCTGAACATACCTTGTCCCTCGCTCATAAGCTCTCTACTAAATCATAATTATTACTTTAACATTGCACATTCTTAATGAATATGTCTCCTAACCTCAGTGCAATAACTGTCCTTTTATGTCCTACCTTGATGTGTTTTTGTTTGTAAACTCTACTGGTTATGAGAACTAAAAAAAAAAGAGCCTACATCCTTTAAATACCCTGAAGAAATTGCCTTCACTTCCATCTTAGTGGAGATGGAAATGTGCAGGGATTGTGGAGGATGCATGGGGAGGGGTGCTTTGGTTTGGAGGGTGGGACTGCCCGAGGCTCTTTTCCCCACAGAGAGTCACCACTTCGCTCCGGAACAGACTATGAAGCGAGTCCTGAATTGAGACCCAAGGATGGGAACACCATCTCCTCTTGACACGGGAAGGGAGCATCCAGCTAATAGTCCACATCAACTTCTATCATCAATAATGTGTCAAGAGCGGCCATGATAATCCAGATCATCAAGCAACTGTGGCTCATGATGCGGGGAGACAAGCCAACTCCCCCAACAGAGCTATTAAAAAGAAAGCCATTCTCATCTTACATTATACTTTTCTCTTGTTATTTCTCTCACTGTGTTCCTCTCAACCTCCCCCCACCCCTTCCTTACAACATGATGGTCAGTCCATTGCCAGGCAATCTGGTCTGTGATGTTGTTCACACCTCCATCGAGCCAAAAAGAAAAAAAAAATCTTAGACAAGATATGATGACTTACCCAGGTGGTGTGTTTCGCTGGTCTCTTGGTCTTATGGGTGAGGGCAGCCAACCAAGGTATGTGTATGTGTATGTGTGTGTGTGTGTGTGTGTGTGTGTGTACATCTGCCTACAGTATATGATGGTGTGTTTACCCCAGGCCCTGTGCTGTGATGCTGTGATGCTGAGTGTCACCCTGCTCCGGCCTGAGCCCTGCAGCCAGAGAAACCAGCTGTGAAACTGACAGGTTTGTCTTCTGCACTCACCTACACTCTTTCTTCCCCTGCACACACACACACACACACACACACACACACACACACACACACACACACACACATGCACTGATATATACACATGCAACCACATACACATAATGAGGCGCACACACAGAGACACGTACACACAGTTTCATGGCCTGAGGTTTAAGTACACATGCACACACAAGCCCCCCCACATCCACACATATCCACAGACCATCACACAAGCTGCAGGCAGTCTCTCTCATGCCAGCTACAAACACAGTGCAAAAGGAATATGCTTACAGAGCTCCGATATATAGTGGCTACTCATAACCTGAACACATTTTTACAATTTGATGAAAATCTGCAAAGATATTGAATATCCAAGTGAAATATTCTTTAGACCATGTTTTCCATCACTATTCCTCATCATTTAAGCACCGGACCGTGCTATATTTTCATTCAGATTGTTTTATTAGGCTGTAAATAAGAAAGTGAAGGCATATAATGTCTTACAAAGACATCAGTTACAAGTAAATTATAAATCATAACTTGTTACTCACCTAACAAAATGCACTTATATTATGATCAGAGCAGTTTAAGGTGAAGAAAGGTGTGAAAATACTGTTCAGTGTCTATTGTAAGAGCTTGCCTCTAGCCCGTTTTACAACAGTATAAACCTATATTACAAACATATGTTTTTACATGTATGCTAGTTATTTTAAAAATGCATTTTTATGTATTGTGATTATATGCAGTTGTTGTTCATTCTTTGTTAATGCAAATAAACCAAATAGAATTTGAAACACAAAGGCGAAAGATTGTTTAGAATACCTCTTTGTGCAATATATAGTGTATTTAGCCTCAGGTCCAAAACATTATGACAACCTTAATTCCCTTCAGTTAGGTTCAGGTAACATTTCATTAGAAACTGAACCTAATAAACCAGACTCAAACCAGACAAACTCAGATGCGTTGACAAGGATTTGCATGATCAGATGTGACTACATTCTCCCAGGTGAGTGCATGAATCTTGCAATATACACATGTAGGTTTACATGCAGGTATGTAGCACATACATGTATATGTTTATTCTGTATCATGTAGGTCAATGAGGACATGCAACATTGCCACAAGCGTCTGAACTTGAGGTCCATCCAGGAAAAGCTGATGAGTTACCCTCAGGAGATGCTGCCTTCTATGGCACCTTCCCCCACACCTAACGGACACCTAGCGTGCACACAAAACCTTCACACACACACACACACACACACACACACACACACACACACACACACACACACACACACACACATACATGGACTTTGACACACAGTAGTGAAGGATGCCATGTGTATCCAGGTGTCTGGCTGTGCTGTAGCACCCTTCAGATGTCACAACGACAGAAATCAGTGTTCTGACCAGAAAGTCTGCAGGCAGCACGCGTGTCTTACCGTGCCACATTTGTGTACATGAATGTGTGTGTGTTGGCGCATCTGTGAGCGCATATACATGTGTGCTTGTGTGTTACTTATTCCTAGAGGGTGGGGGTGAGAAAAACAAGTGAGAAAACAGCAAAACAAGTTAAGAGACAATGAAGAAAGCAACACTGGCACCTGTTTCCCCCCAGTGTGGAGGGCGAAGAATCCGCCTCAGAAACTACACTGCCTGCTCCTTTGATGTACTGATGCCACTGATACATTTTATCTCCAGATATTTCAGTCCAACAGCATGCACTATATCACCTTTATCTCTCCTTCTAACCCTCCATAAACATGCTGCCTTCCTAACACACATGCACACTCTTTTTTTGGTTCAGTTATGTGGCCAGATGTCCAAGTTGACATAGCGCTTAAGGCGTTTGACTGGATGAAACAGTGCATTGGCTGCGGGTAAAGAGGGATTAAAACAGGGCCTGAGGCACTTGTGTTATATTGAAAACATCCTGGGCTGCTTTGTATGGAGATTTGCATACATTGGGGTCTGTGCGGCGATGGCCCATCTGCTGAAGAGCATTGTCCCCAAACAACAAAGTGTGTTTAAATATTTCACATCTCCATCTACTGGGACATAGGTACATAGAAGTGAGTGGAGAGTGAGTGAGAGAAATAGAGGGCGATGGAGGGGGGTGAAAAAAAAACAAAAAAAAAGGAACGAGTAGATTGGCACAGCTTTGAATTTGAACTGCTCCCAAATGTGCCTCAGTCAGAGCCACAGTAAATAACACTATTGCCGGCCAGGATCCGGGAAAATGAGGAGAATCTAAATATAATATGTTGTAAATCTGAATTCTGGTGCAAAACATAGTTGTCTGAATACAGCAATGAAGATGTGAAATGTATGTTTTGTGCAATGATTGTGTTCTGAATGTCCAGCTAAATATAAAACAGGGTTGAATAGAACACATGCATTTTAACAAACTTTACATTTGAGTGTTGAAACTTTCAACACATTTTATTCTGTATAAAAAAATACATTTATCATGACACTGGATGGACATTTTCACCTAATATTAATAGATTTATTTTACCATGCATGCAGTGTCAAATTAACTATGAAAGACACTGACTATGTTGATAGAAAAAAAAGGCAAATATCCACAGTAGGCAGTTTGGTATAGACTGGTCCAGTATTAAGTTATCATCCCTCTGGCCCAAACCCTCTTTATTGTATTAATGCCATAACTCTGGATTTCTGTGACATTTAATGGCACTGTAAAATTAGATAATTACTGTAATATATCTGTGTACTCATGCCCGTTTCTGAGGTCAGAAACATAAAAATTAATAAGGAACAAGTGGGAGAAAGGGGACAGAGTAGAGAGATTAAATGAGAAAGTGAGTGTGTACAAGAGAGTTTGAAGTGACAAAGATGGCAAAAGTTAGTTTTATTAATGCAAAGAGAACACAGTCTGAAGTTACTTTGACATCCAATGTTTATGCATCCTCTCTCGATACCCCTGCATTTTTTATTTTCACTCTCCTCTCCCCGTGTGTCTTTCATTTCAACCAAAACACACATCAAATGAAAAACATGCTCAGGGCACTGGATGGTGGATGGAACAGTAAGGTGATTTAACGACGGGACGGTTTGTGTGTAGGCTGGACAGCCTGGTGCAGCCTCCGTCTTCACAACCCGCACACACAAACCCATGCACACATTTACACGTACGCACACACAGACAGACACAGACACACACACTGACACCAAATATCTGAAAAAACAGCCAAGATGGACGTGAGGAACATGTTGCCTGCACGGGGGAGGATTTTGGAAAGAAGAGCGTGGTCAATCTGTTTGTTTCTCTGCCACATCCAAGAAGAGTGATAATTTCATTTTCTTTCATTATTTTCTCTCATTTATTGTACTCCGAATGTCAGATTTTGAAAGCTGCTGAGGTTTATGTTTAAGGAGAGAGCATATCAGACAATGGTTTTTATTTATTTTGCAACAAAATGTCAGTTGTTCTGTCTCTCTTGTTCCCACGTAGTGAGACATCAAGACAGCAAACACAGACAGACCCATTGATGCTACCTGAACCTCGTACCTCTGCCTTGTCTCGCTGCATCTCCCTCTGTCTCATCATGTCTCATAAGCCAGTTCATTTATGCAAACTCTAGCCGTAGAAGGTCACGGTTGGAGAGTCTGTGAAAAAGTATAACAGACACACATTAACCCCCATTTAATCAGGATTACAGAGAACAACCAAGCATTATTTAACACAAATCACAGAGCATGACAGCAGTAGAGAAATATGGGACACACACATACACACACAAACACAAATCCAGCACAATCAATCTAATGGTGTGCATTAGTTAACTGCCAAATGTTGGGCTTTTTATGGCAGGATCACCCGTCCCTTGAAAAGATAAATACGGTGCACAGATCCCAGTAATTACAGCAATCCCCTTACAGCACACAGAGACCGTCCTCACTCACCAGCCTCTCTGGAGTACTGTCGCCCTGTAGATTAAGTCATTTAGGACAGTTTTAGGGCACCGGGGTGACTGACAGAAGAGGAGCTGGGTGGAGAAGAGACAAAAGGACAGACAGGGATGGCGTTAATGCGTTTTGTCTTTACGGTATTTTGGGGGAGGGGTTGTACTAAAAAAAAAAATAAAATGCAGCCACGGCAGACAAAATGAATAGATAAAGACCCAGTCAAATGCGCGTTGACACACCTGTGATATATGTAGCACGTAGGCAAACACATGTAATCTCTAATCTGCAAACCTCCTGTGACTTTCTGAGGTTATGTCACCAAGAAACATAACATTCCAACGACTGAATGACTGAAGAGCAGTCCCAGGAAAAGGTTCATGGCCTTTGTGTGGGTAATGTTAAGGAAATGTAAAAATCAAGGAAATATACTTATAGTCTGATCCCACCAAATAAAGCCAGCATGTAAAGCTGCCGCTCTCTGTGTGTGTTACAATGGGAATAATATCATCATGTAGATGGGGTGGACAAAAAAATATGAATATATATACAATATAACGCAACACAATATAATAGCTGTGCAACAAACGTGAAGCTTCAAATGTTCAGTTTCCGTTGCAAGTGTTAGTGAGCTCTCTGATAATGTCTTTAGGGCCAACAATTCAATATGTCTAGAGACCTTACAAAAAATATTGACTTTGAAAATTGACTCAACACCTCACTGACATAGACTCAACAAAACATTTACCATCTTGAGCTTTGGATTGTGGTACATTAAGCTGTAAAAAATATAAAATAAATAAAAAATAAACTAAAGCTCTGTGGAGGTTCCTTGTAAACCAACAAAGTTGTTTACATTTAGTGTTTTTCATCAACAATTATTGTATCTATCCTTGAAGACTGAATACATGTTGAATGCATTTCCCACCTCATAAAACATTTGCAACGCTGGTTTTCTGAATATTTAAAATCATGCTTTGATTACATCCGTGTTTCTGTGTCTTCTTAGCTGCTTTTTGTGCGTCACAGCCACCAACTGTCTATCAGCAAAAAAAACTAAAAGTGATTGCAGTGATTATTTCTCTTGTGCACTCACTCGTTTGCAAGATACAAACAAAACCGAAATCCACCCTTTCCTCCATAGCACTCTTAGTGGTCAAAAACTCTGCAGGGTACCTTTAAGCTGTACAATTTTTACAGCTGCTCATGTTGTTGTGTTCACTTCTTGTGTGCAGCTAAATCACAACACACAGGAAGATCACAGAAAGTTTAGACTCCTCAGGACGCCTCTACTGTGTCTGTGCATGTGCAAATTTGTGTGTGTGCGTGTATGCGTATGAGTGTGTGTAAAGGGCAGTGGTGGGTGCAGTTTAGCAAAGGGAACTGAGCAAAGCCTTCAGGCCGGAGGGCGATTGATGTCCAGCGGGTGGCTGAGGAACACTAACTCACACTGCTCTCTGACTGCATCTAAAACTCTCATTAGTTTAAGTGTGTGAGAGTTCTCTGCCGCTGCACCCTTCAGACCCTGCAGAGAGGCAGAGGGCCAAAACCCCCTCAGATGGCTTTCACAACAGGGGAGGTGTGCAAGGAGGTGAACGTACATGTCTGCAAGCACACAGGCATTGACACAAAAACACATTTTTGCACACACATTAGTCTTTCTGCTGTTGTCTTTCTCTGTTTTTCTTGCAGCATGCATGTACATAACTGTGAGCATGCAGCTTAACAGCAGGGCCTAATGAGGTCTGAAATATGAGCGGCAAACATTTGTATGGACAGATGTGGATTAATGTTCATCTTTTCTTCAAGCCAGAGATTAAACCTGATTTACCGCCTAACAGGTTTTTAGTTTTTTCTATTTGATTACAGAGAGAGAGAGAAATGAATAGAGGAGGTAAATGAGACACAGTGGGAAAGAGAAACAAAGGAAGAAAACAGAGTGGTTGTGTCTCCAACTTATGGGGAAGTTGCCAGAAGAAGCCAGACAGTGAAAGTGGAAGGAACAAAGACAAAGCAGGGTTGGATGGAAGGGGAGGCAGAGGGAATCGTCAGATGCTCCTCATTCCTGTTGTGGGTTGCTGAAGTGAAGGAGGAGAAATTTGAGTCATGGGTACGGAATCAGAAATGTCAACAGATTGAGTCAGAGCAGAGCTGGGACCGTCTGGAAGGAGAGAGTATCAACACTGACTGAGGGGCACGCAAGATTTTGGGACCGTCACTGGGCTAATGGCAAAATTTTTGGACATTATGTGTGTGCGTGTGTGGATGTGTGTGTACGTGTTGCATGGGGGAGGATGTGGGATTGGCTTAGTCTGCTGTCTATAATGAATGGTTAATGTTAGTCGGGGAAAAAATGAATACGGTCACCATCTGCTCAATCTAAGTCTGCGTTCTGTGCGTGTGTGTGTGCACATTTGTGTGTGTGACAGTCATGTAGACTCACACACACACATACACACACACAATGTGCTCTTGGAGAGGGATTTGGAAATATGGAATGGAAGAAAAGGGAGGGAGGAAGAAAGAGAGGAGGAAGCAGCTAAGAGAAGACAGACATGCAACAAAAACCTGCAAGAAAGAGACAATGAAAGTGATGGAAAAAGAGAAAGAAGTGATATTCATGTAGGCAACATTTTATGTGTTTTGATGTAGAGACACAGATACAGGTGAGCACAAATAGGGCACAAGTCATGAATTCTGTCAGGTTTGTCAAGCACATGTAGCCTATGGCTGCGTGCTCTTTATACACACACATACACCAAAACAGAATAGACGGAATAGAAATATAGGTGGAATAGAAATATTTTTATTGCCAATACTGAAAAAGAAGTTGACAATTAAAAGTAAACATACCTCTTGCTTTGACACACATGCACGGTGATAAAAGAAGTAGTCAGATCTTTTACTTGAGTAGCAACGCCACGATGTGAAAATATTACATTACATGTAAAAGTACATTAATATTTTACTTAGTGAAAGTACAGAAATGATATCAGTAAAACTGACTCACTGTAAGCATTTGAGTAAAAGTTCTCATTTTGCAGAATGGCTCCTGTCATCATAAAATTTAAAGTGTAATGTGAGTGTAATCATTTATTCATTAATGTCTAAAGAGAATTATAATGTTGTAGCTGGTCTAGGTGGAACCAATTATAACAACTTTTTGTGCTATTGGGAAATATAATCTACATTTACAACAATTTATCATATTTATTGAACTGATTGCATGTTTTTTATGTTTGTTTGAGTCTGCAGAGTAAATACGCCTACCAAATGAATGTAGTACAGCAAAAGTAGCATTTTCTTTCGACATTCAGTGAGGTGGAAATATAAAATGACATACAATGAAATTACTGAAGATGACCAAAAGCAAATACATCACAAAAACTTACAGGGCACTTTTTTTAGTCTTTGTCTCATACAGTATACTGTCTAATTGAGTTCAGTGTGGGAAAAAAAATAACAGTTAGAGTTGAGTTATGTAAGATCCAACAAATCATTTTGAAGAGATAGCTAGGCAAACATTTTTTATGATGTTATAGAAAACATAGTTGAAATATTATGACACAAAAATGTAGGACCTCTGTACAGCTATCTATTACTAAACTACTCTTTGAATACACAGTAACAGTATTTAAAGCTTTAGGGGGATTACAAGTGTTGAGGACACTGGAGCAGTATCATCCCCGGCTGTGTTCTCAACACACACACTCTCTCGCCCACTCCCACACAAACACAGAACAAATGCATGTCCGTTATTACTTTTTTTTTGTCTGTGAACACATCACATTTGTCTTCAAAGTTTAAAACATGAAAAACAAAACAAAAAAAACAGTTCACATGCATCATCATGCTCTTGGGTAGCTGTGACAGAGAGGAACTTCAGCACTGATAAAACATTTGTGATACATCTCTGAACACTGGGTTGATAAGTAAATACAGCCTACATCGATAATCCTCATGTCACTATGTGCTCTGTATTATGCAGAGAGTTGCATTTACACAGACATGCACACACACACACACACACACACACACACACACACACACACACACACACACACACACACACACACACACAAACAAACACACGCACACACACTGCCAGGTTGTGATTAAATTCTCTGTGGCCTATGATCCGCCTCTAAATCTTTGCAATTTTCATTTTATGCAGCTTTAATATGGATCATAGTTGCTCTCAGAGTGCCCCATCTCCTAATCTGGAGCAATCTGAGCTGAGCCTGGCTGGGCCAACAGCTGACGCTAAGCCAACCATTCACACTCAACCAGCCAGCAAGTCAGCCACAAAGCGTCTGTACAGTCGGATAGACCCAAAATGCCATGAGACAGGAGATGTTGGGAATATTTTTGAGGAATCTTTATGAAAATTGTTTAGCAGATATTCAGAAACTGCACACTGAAATAGTAATTCACGTGTGTATTTTGTATGGAAATAACTAAGTGTGGTTTACGCAAGGTTATTTTACTTAACTAAAACTAAACTAAAAACTAGGTGTGAACAAATATTTTAGTTAACTGAAATAAAAATAAAAACAGACTTTAGTAAAAAACAAAAAACTAACTGAAACAATATTGTATACATACAAAACTAACTAAAATGAAATACAAATATACAGGAAATGTCTTGTACCACCCATATTATAATGGGAAAGAAACTACTGCAAAAAGTAAAACTAAACATTTTTAAACAATAAAAACAAAATTTAAAATAAATTCAAATATCTGACACTAAACTGAATTTAAAACAAAATTTAAAAAATAAATAAATTACAAACTAATATAATATAATAGCAAATACAGAAAAAAGAAAATATTAAAAAATGCATTCACCATGTTGACAATTTTGCAGAAAAAGGAAATTTTAGTGATTTAGCAAGAAACAATATCAGAGTTTAAACATGCCACTTTTGTTGTTGCTGCCGATAATACATACTGTACATGTGCATAGACATCTTGATCTGATTATGATTTGATGGTAGTGTGGAAGGAGGTGGAGGGACGGACTAAAGGGTAACATTTGTTGAGGTCAAATGTGGTGTGTTTGGGTGGGCTACCGTGTCAC